GGCGCTGTGGCTCAAGTGATAGAGCGCTAGTATTGAGCTGAAGAGCTGAGGGACAGCGCCCAGGCCCAGAGTTCAGGCCCAGGAGCGGACCCAAAAAAACAAAAATGCTGAAATAAGGATACATGTTGACCCATTATAACAATATGATGTACAAGACACTATGTTGAAAACGAACTTTTTAGGGAGGAGAGTAAGGGAAGGGATGGTAGGGAAAAACAAAGGAGGAGGTAACAATGTTCAGTAGGAAACGTACTCATTACCTTACTCATGTAACTGTAACCCCTCTATACAGTATTTTTACAATAAAAATATATACAAAAAAGATGAAATATACTCATTACCTTATTCATGTATTTGCAACCCCTCTATACAGTATCTTTACAATAAAAATATATATTTAAATGACTCCTTTGTGCAACTACATAAAGATAATATTTTTAAAAAGCATAGACACTATTTGTAAGAATCAAAACCAGAGATAAAAATACAAAATAATTCATAAACTAGAAATAGGTTTGAGTTTAGCATAATCTGAGACAAGACATGCAAAACTAGAAACTAATATTTTCATTTTCATTTATTTTTCTTTCAGTATACTTTGTGCCCCACTCATTCAGCAAAGCAGGAATTATTATTTACATATAAGAGGACAAAAATAAGGGAAAGGAATTAAGGCAATGGAAAATTGTGAAGCAAACAATGCAGGCCATTAAATGGTAGAGCATAGCTCTTCATCATTTGTCCAGTCTGGGCACGACAACTGGAATTACTGACTTCTTTGCAAGGAACTAAGTGGCTCAGCTGTGAAAGAAAGCAGTCTGATCTCTTCTGCTACCATCAGAATAAAATAGCCACAGAAAAAGAAAATATTTCTTACATGCATTTGACATCATAAGGAAACCAAATAAGCAATCTCTTAATTTCATTAAAAGTTAATTTCTTAATTTCATTAAAGAAGACTGAAGAGTTTTTTTAACTTTAAGAAATATATTTCCAAATATCTTAGGAAATATATTACAGAAGCTCTTAATTGCCATGGGGCTATTATAATAATTCTATAAGGTTCAAACACTAGTTATCATACCCAAAATGAACCCCGCTTCATAAAGTATCCCATTTCTAGTTGACCACTATATCCTTCCAAGTACCATGTTGCACACAGATTTTCATAACTTTTAACACTGAAATCAATTATATTTTAAGAAATCTGGAGGGAAATAAATTTACCGCTTCTCAAGATTCTTTTTTACTTTTAACAATATTCATTGTAAGAAAAAAATCTTATATTGAACTTAATTCAGAGTTGCAATTTTGGTCCTTGATTCTTATAAGTTTAGTGGAAATAAAAAACCTCTTGAAACTCTAATAATAACAGATGCTGGAGGGGATGTGGACAGAAAGGAACCTTACTGCATTGTTGGTGGGAATGTAAACTTGTCCAACCACTTTGGAAAGCAGTATGGAGGTTCCTCAAAAGACTTCACATAGAACTCCCCTATGACCCAGCAATCCCACTTTTGGGCATTTACCCAAATGCTTACAAACAAGACCACACTAAAGCTACCACCACAACTATGTTTATTGCAGCATTATTTACCATAGCTAAGATATGGAACCAACCCAGATGCCCCTCAGTAGATGAATGGATCAAGAAAATGTGGTATATATACACAATGGAATTCTATGCCTCCATCAGAAAGAATGACATTGCCCCATTTGTTAGGAAATGGAAAAACTTGGAAAAAATTATATTAAGTGAAGTAAGCCAGGCCCAAAGCAACATAGGTCCCATGGTTTCCCTTATTTGCAATATCTAGTATATCTATGAGTCAAGCGGAAAAGGTCAGATAATGTGATGTCAGGAAAATGAACCCTTAGATATGTATTTTAATGTTTTTTCTTTCATGCATGTGTTTCTAACGCATTTATAAGATTATCTCTTTGTTGCTTTGTATGTCCCTCCCCCACAGTATAACCCATGCTTTCACTATATTTGATGTCAGTATAACTTGTGGAGGAGATGGGGAAAAACCAGTTGTTTAAAGATACAGGTGGATCTGATGCAACAATGAGAAGTACAAGTGGTCATGCCAAAACGAGCTTTACAACGTCGGTGGGGGGGGGGGTAGGGGGGGGGGGGGGGGGGGGAAGGAGAAGTATTGGGATGGGGGGGGGAGGGGGGAGGCTGGGAAGGGATGGGAAGGTTAACAAAGGAGGAGGCTGCAGTGCTTGGTAAGAAATGTACGCATTATCCTGCCCATGCAATTGTAACCCCTCTGTACAGTATGTTCACAAATAAAATAAAATAAAATTAAAAAAAAAACAAAAAACCTCTTGACACCCATAAACTTTAATAACATCTATTACTTATTAAGTACTTACTTGGCACTGGGATAAAAGCTTTGCAAATTATCTTATTCAATCTCCATACAGCAAGTAAAAAACAAATATTCTTATTGTTCTCATTTCACTGAAGAATAAATTGAACCTTGAGATATCAGTTTTGTTCACCATCTCTCAAGTAGGAAATGGAAGAGCTAGCATTGAATTGTGTTCTTTACCATTCTTAAACTTGAGGAATTTAGTAGCCGTAAGAATTTTCTCTTAGCATTGTCATTGCTATTCCTAAATACTGATGGTTTCCAAATCATATAACCTGATTTCCAAGGACCAGACTTGATGATGCTACACACCCAAAAGCATTATGCACTGAGTAGAAATTATACTTCATATTTTACTTTTTTCCCACTGCCAGCAACATGCACTTATACTCTGTTCAAACATGAATATGGCATCAAGCCATAGATTCCAGTCAAAGAAGGGATTACAAGAGTAGGGTAAGTGGCCAGTACTCTACAGGTTACTGTGTTGCTAAGCTATGATGTTCAGTATGTTGGGCATATTAAACACATTTTCAAAACAAGTACAGAGGTATTTAGGGGGATGTTCTCTATGGCCAATCAAGGAGCATCTGTAGTCTCAATCACTTTTCTAGTTTTCTGAACCATTTAATCATTTTTAACTCTACTTCAAAACCATTTCAACATTCTCATATCTACTTTATGGGAAACTCAATTAAACTTCCTAATAAAGATTATTTTTATGGGTTTTAACTTTTATGTTCTTATTTGAGGATCCTACCTGCATTAATTACTTAATAATAGGGGTTTATAACTAAATCATGTCTAATAAACTATCATAAGTTTTAGAACATTTTTAAGAACAAAGCTAATATTGAAATTCTCACTAGGAAATGGTGATGTGAGCCTAACAGAGCCAAGTCACATCTCAAAACACATAACATCAACAGTTAAAATAAAACCACAGTTTGACTTTGTAAAGCATTAAGACATTACATAATCCAATCTCCTCATTTTATACTTAAAAATATTGAGAATATTTCTTTATGTGGGCCCAATCAAAATTAAAGGTGTGGTTCAATTTAATGTCATTGTTCATTTAACTATGCTTTTAAAATACCTGATATGACACATAAAAATTCATTTCAAAAGGCATATAAACTTCCATTCCATGTACCTTTAATTTTTTTTTTACTTTTTTTTTTTTGCCAGCCCTGGGGCTAGAACTTAGAGCCTGGGCACTGCCCTGAGCTTCTTTTGCTCAAGGCTAGCACACTACCACTTGAGCCATAGCTCCACTTCCAGCTTTTTGGGTAATTTATTGGAGATAAAAGTTTCATGCAAACTGGGTGCCAGTGGCTCATGCCTGTAATCCTTACTACTCAAGAGGCTGATATCTGAGGCTCAGGTTTAAAGCCAGCTCTGGCAGGAAGTCCGTGAGACTCTTATGACCAATAGACCACTAGAAAACCAGAAGTGGCACTGTGGCTCAAGCTGTAGAGTGCTTGCCTTGAGCTGAAGAGCTGAGGGATAGTGCCCAAGTCCAGAGTTCAAGCCCCATGACCGATTTTAAAAAAAATAAAATAAAGTCTCATGCATTTTCCTGCCCAGGCTGGCTTTGGATCGTGATCTTCAGATCTCCGAGTCATCAGTAGCTAGCATCACAGGCATTGAGCCACCAGTACCCAGCTATCCATGTACCTTTGTAATACCCTTTGGATACAATCAACATTATTGAACTCAAACTTGTTTTTAAGGTCCTCTAACCCAGAGAAAGGAAAATTGATCCATCCCAAGTCAAGGAACCTTTAAGCATCATAAAGGAAGGCTGTATCAGGAGTGGTCTCACATCCCTAATAAGTAGAAGAGTATATATTACAGTATTCTTAACTGTATTCATTGCTCTGAATATCAACATGTAAAAATAGATCAGAGAAGAAACATGAGACCCAGCTACTTCTGGGCCAGTTCAGAATTTATAGTTGAGCTGTGTGGAATTTATCAATACCTAGATTCACAGTGATTTGTCATCACAAGGTGTTACATGAAGTTCTCACTAGAATAGAAACCACCTTACTACTATTTTTAATGTAGTATATTGAAGGCAACCCAAGAGCAACAGGACTGCAAGAAAACCACTGTAAGGAGAGACATTTCTAAACTGCAGGATCCTTTACAAATTCCTTCCTCCCTTTAAGCTTACATTTACCAGAAAATCATGGTCACTTAAATAAGGAGCTGCTGTGTAGAATTCAAGTAAGCACTACTGAAATGAGCTTCTAGTCTTTCCTCAGTTTTCTTAGTATAAATAGAGCTACAGAAGAATCAGTGGGAGCAGGTGGGAGGAAGAAAGGACAAAATAATGAGGTAGAATATGATAGAAATACCATATATATTTACAGATTTGAAAATAGCAGAAGTATAGTGTGTGTGTGTGTATGTGTATGTGTGTACATAGCAAAAATGAAATCCACTAGCAACTATTAAAGGAATGGAGGAGGGGAACCAAGAAAGAGTAATAAAGGGGGTGAATTTGATCAAAACACAATATAGGCATGTATGGAATTATCACAGTGAAATCACTTTGCACAGTTCATTTATACCAGTAAAAGAATTTGCAAAGAAGCTTAAACATCTTACCATCCAGATGATCCACATAACAATACACATCATAGGTTTCCTGAGGAGAACGGAATCCATAAGTCCTGACCCCTTCCTTTCCCATCATGTCTCCATAGCAGCCTTCTCGAGGGGCCCGGATGGGATATCTAACAAGGATAAAAATTTGTAAGTGACATATCTTCTTTTAAAGAGATGAATAAATTGAAGGCCCACACCTCCAAATCTCTCACCTAACGCTTCGATCAGATAGCCAGCCTGCATCACACTGTTCAAATCCATCTTCATATGCAGCAAAAAGCTGGTCTGGGGATGCTATGACTGCCCCAATGTCCAAGCAAGCCTTCTTAGCAGTCTCAAAATTTAGAGTATACCTACTAGTTGCAGCCCTGTAGTGAAACACAACCCCTGCAAAGGCAATAGCAAACATTTTTCAGGTAGTTCCTAATCTCTTAAATTACTGTGCAAAATTCTCATGGAAGTAATATATTCAATTAATTGGTAACAGTAATAATATCATCTTTATTCTATGTAAAAATCATGTTTACATAAAAAGCTTCAAAATATCATTAATCTAATTGTCCATTAGAATATTTCCTAGCCGTGAACTTATTGCTAATATGTGTAAGTAAGAGATTTAGGTTGCTAAACCCTAGTAATAAAATTTAATGATATTAACTCGTATCACTTAAGACTATTTTTGTTGTTAATTGGAATTAATTGTGATTTCCAAGGTTGTTTTTTTTTTACTTTTCTCTGTTGTCTACTCATTCTCATGGGGTTGAGAGGAAGTCTAACTTCTGACTCTCACATTACATCTCCCACACATCCATCTCTCAGTTCCAAGACATAGCTAAGTACCATATGATCATGATCATCACAAAGGGACCAGTACAGGTAGCAAGTAGATGCGCTGACAACTTTTTTTTTTCTAGTTTTTGGTCTTTCACTATTCTTTCTAACACTTCCCTAAAATTGTCAGGAAGTATATCTGCTATCTGGTAACTAGAAATAGTTCTAATGATCTATAAAAGTTAAGATAGAACTTGAATGGTTGTACATTTTGCTTGATCAGTGCTTCCAATAATCTTTTCAGTAATTAAAAATTGTTCACATGGGCTGGGAAGATGGCTCAGTGGTTGAGCGCTTGCCTTGCATGCCTGAGGCCCTGGGTTCAGTTCCTCAGCACCACATAAGCAAAAAGAAAAAAGCCGGAAGTGGCGCTGTGGCTCAAGTGGTAGAGCACTAGCCTTGAGCTGAAGAGCTGAGGGACAGCGCCCAGGCCCAGAGTTCAGGCCCAGGAGCGGACCCAAAAAAACAAAAATGCTGAAATAAGGATACATGTTGACCCATTATAACAATATGATGTACAAGACACTATGTTGAAAACGAACTTTTTAGGGAGGAGAGTAAGGGAAGGGATGGTAGGGAAAAACAAAGGAGGAGGTAACAATGTTCAGTAGGAAACGTACTCATTACCTTACTCATGTAACTGTAACCCCTCTATACAGTATTTTTACAATAAAAATATATACAAAAAAGATGAAATATACTCATTACCTTATTCATGTATTTGCAACCCCTCTATACAGTATCTTTACAATAAAAATATATATTTAAATGACTCCTTTGTGCAACTACATAAAGATAATATTTTTAAAAAGCATAGACACTATTTGTAAGAATCAAAACCAGAGATAAAAATACAAAATAATTCATAAACTAGAAATAGGTTTGAGTTTAGCATAATCTGAGACAAGACATGCAAAACTAGAAACTAATATTTTCATTTTCATTTATTTTTCTTTCAGTATACTTTGTGCCCCACTCATTCAGCAAAGCAGGAATTATTATTTACATATAAGAGGACAAAAATAAGGGAAAGGAATTAAGGCAATGGAAAATTGTGAAGCAAACAATGCAGGCCATTAAATGGTAGAGCATAGCTCTTCATCATTTGTCCAGTCTGGGCACGACAACTGGAATTACTGACTTCTTTGCAAGGAACTAAGTGGCTCAGCTGTGAAAGAAAGCAGTCTGATCTCTTCTGCTACCATCAGAATAAAATAGCCACAGAAAAAGAAAATATTTCTTACATGCATTTGACATCATAAGGAAACCAAATAAGCAATCTCTTAATTTCATTAAAAGTTAATTTCTTAATTTCATTAAAGAAGACTGAAGAGTTTTTTTAACTTTAAGAAATATATTTCCAAATATCTTAGGAAATATATTACAGAAGCTCTTAATTGCCATGGGGCTATTATAATAATTCTATAAGGTTCAAACACTAGTTATCATACCCAAAATGAACCCCGCTTCATAAAGTATCCCATTTCTAGTTGACCACTATATCCTTCCAAGTACCATGTTGCACACAGATTTTCATAACTTTTAACACTGAAATCAATTATATTTTAAGAAATCTGGAGGGAAATAAATTTACCGCTTCTCAAGATTCTTTTTTACTTTTAACAATATTCATTGTAAGAAAAAAATCTTATATTGAACTTAATTCAGAGTTGCAATTTTGGTCCTTGATTCTTATAAGTTTAGTGGAAATAAAAAACCTCTTGAAACTCTAATAATAACAGATGCTGGAGGGGATGTGGACAGAAAGGAACCTTACTGCATTGTTGGTGGGAATGTAAACTTGTCCAACCACTTTGGAAAGCAGTATGGAGGTTCCTCAAAAGACTTCACATAGAACTCCCCTATGACCCAG